GCCCCAAGCACCTAATTTTCCTATGAGGTCCTGCTTTGTCCTTAACGACCTCTAGGGTCCAAATAGTACTAGCAAAATCATTTTAATCATACGCATGCCTTCAAAGCAGCATCGATGATTTGGGGTTCTCAAACCAGACTGTAGCCAACAAGTGCATTCATCACTTTACAAAATTATCAGTCATCTATGTCTGGCTTGTTGAAGTATGTCAGGCAGAGAGCATCAAACTCCTCATCTGACTCATGTGATCTATGGAAACACAAACATGTTGAACAGACAATGCCAACAGGGCTGAGGGTCAGTAAGCTACAGAGCACAGCACAGGCAGCAGTTGCTACCACACAGCAGCAGAGAACAGTGCCCAGAATTTCTAGTTAACTTTCGTAAAGTATAATAAAAACAATAATAAAAAAACAATAAAAAATAAAAAACCAATATGCGAGGAATGGTAATGTTTGCCTATAATCTTAGCACTTCAAAGACTGAGGAAGAAGACTGCCAAGAGTTCAAGGCCAGGCTAAGTTACACAGTGAGTTTGAGACCAGCCTGAAATACACTGTGAGACCTCGTCTCAAGCCAACAAAAATAATGCTTACTTAACTCTTGCTTTACACATTTGGTTCTTTATCATCTCCATCCCTCACAACTGAATCACTTATCTCTGCCCATGTTCCATTCTCCCAGTATAGTTCAGGAAGTCTTTCTTAAAAAATTGTAAAGCCTGAAATGAAGATACCAGCCAAGCAAAAGGGAAGAAGGGCAAAGAGGAGACAGAACATTAAATGAGCAAGTTCGAGAAATAAGGAAAAAAGGAAAAAAGAAGAATGGATACTAAAAAATGTAACTAGAAACCCTCCCTTTTTCCACTATTTTCCTAAAACAGAAGCATGGGAGGGGGCAGCAGAATGACTTAATATACTGATATTAAAATTTTCTTTGCTGGGGCTGGGGAGATAGCTCAGTAGAATAAGCGCTTGCCTGGCAAGTGCAAGGTCCTGAGTTCAATCACCAGTACTGCAAAAAAAAAAAAAAAAAAAAAAACCTAAAAGTTTTTTGCTATCAGCTCTTCACGTAACCAACAGTAAAATCTATTTATACTTCATTCAGCACAGTGAGTCTTCAAAAGAGCTAAAAGGGGAAAAGGGACTATGGACTCCAAAAGCTTTTCTTTCCACACAAATACCCAGAGATTAACAGATTTCAGATGTTTAACTGGAAAAGATAAAAAATGAATTTTTAAAATTGCTTCTGAGGAGGGGCCGGGGAGATGGCTCACTGGAATAAGCGCTTCCCTGGCAAGCACAAGGGCCTAAGTTCAATCCCCGGTTCCACAAAAAAACTACTTCTGAGGTAAATAAAGACAATACATTATAGGGACCATTCACTCACTAGAAACAGGACAACAAACATCAGAATCATAACAGGGCCAGATAAGGAGAGCTACACATGAGCACCAATCTACAGAGAAAAGTGCATACCCATTCAGTAACACAAGGCCATCCCTGTCCCTCAAAGAAAATTAAGAGAAAGTTTCAAAAAGGAAACCATAGCAAGTATTAGCAAATCACCTGCCTCTGAGAACACAACATAACACTCAGAAATAACAATATTAACAATATGAAACTTGGCCACGTTGAAACGCCCAAAGGGGTTATGCAAGTCGGGTGTTTGGAAGTTGTTGGCCATACCAAGTGTATGGCGGCCAAACCTAAAGGGCCACGAGGACTGCTGGCGCCGAAGGGTCAGATTTTCTGATGCCACAGACAGCAAAGGCCAAGTGAGGAGGTTAGGGGCTCCCAGAGGCCAACCTTGGGTATTGATGCTTAGGCTAACAGATCCCACCAAGGGGAGCCCGGGCCCTGAACTGAGCTAAGGAGACGGGATTTCTAGGGCGTAGAGGGAGGAGGGCAGGACCCCGGGGAAAAAGCTTACTGCTCGTATGCAGAGGATCAGCCCAGGATGGATAAGCAGTTGAGGCTCCAAGGATGCTGAATCCTGCACACATGGAAGAATCTGAAAACCCCAAGTCACACAGATGAGTGGGGCTTATGAGACCATGGTGGCAAAAGAAACCTGAGAGATTTGGTGTGAGACTGGAGGATCACCTTGGTCAGGGGGACCGTCAGAACCTCATTCTTATCAAGAGTGAAGTTTTGGCTTTTGTCTTCAGTAACTCTTCAGTCGTAGCTGCTATGAAAGCTGAAGACCGGCCGAACACCTCACGCTCCCCAGCCACCCACCCACCATTCCCAGCGGAACTCAAGCCGGCACTAAACCAAACGTGCGCGCACCAAGAAAAAGAAAACGCAAAACAAAATAGTTTCCCAATCAAGCAGGTGTGTGGCACACGGCGCAAACCCAGCACCCCAGGAGGCTGAAAAAGGAGGGTTGAAAGTTTGATCCTCACTTGAACAGCAGTAATGAGTTAGCAAGAACCTGGCTGAAGGCAATTCAAAAGGACTGGGGATGTAACTCAGTGCAAAGGCCCTGGCTCAATCCCCAGAACTACTAAAAAATAAAAAAGAAAACTAAAAAAAAAGAAAGAAAACAATATGAAACTCAAGAAACCAGAGGTAGTGGCCCACACCTACAATCTCAACACTGAGAGTCTGAAGCAAGAGGATCACTGGGAGTTCAAGGCCAACCAGACTACATAATGAAGACTTGTCTCAATAAAACAAAACAAAAAAAGAACACACCAAAATATACCCATGGTAAATGATAAAGCTAAGCAAGAAAAATATGACATCTTTGGCTAGGTATGGTGTCACACACCCGTAATCCTAACGCTTGGCAGGAGAATCTTTTTTTTTTTTTTTTTTT